TCTCTCTCTCGGCGGACTGCCGACGTTTCTGTCCAGAAGGGACGCCTCTGGAAAGGAAACGCGGAAGAGGAAACACGTCATCCCGCGCGGAGCCCGAGCTATTTTCGAACGCCGTCTCCGCAGAGAGAGAGCTGCTTTTCTCGGGATTTTTTTCCCCTGTCTTTGCCATGTTTCTTCTTCTTCTCCTTCTTCTTCTAAGTCTTTTCGGGTTTGAAACTGTTTTTTGTTGTTGTTGGGAGAAATGTTGGAATTTGGGTTCCTGGGCAGCAGACCCGTTATGCTTGTGCGTGCGTGTTTTTCCAGAAAATCTAGAGATTTTTTATTATTATTATGATTTTAGCATCAAGAGGGACAGAAACTCCGTCTCGCATTCCTCTGCGATTCATTCTTCATCGTCGGGAAATGAGGAATTGCAACACATGATCCAAGCTTTTTGATCAATATGGCACGAGGGACTTGGAATTTACGTTTATTGTTGTGAATTATTTCATGAATTGAAGAAGAGGCTATGGAACGAATAATTTTCCTACGTTCAACAGCTGTCTCAGAAATCAAAGTTCATTCCGCCCCATCTCAGTTCCGCAATAATATTTTTGGTATGTAAAGAGGATAAACGATTTTATTCTTTGCCGGGATTTTCTGTATTTTGTGCTTATTGGCCTTTGTCATCAATAATTTTTTTCAAGTATCCAATGATGGATGAAAAAGAGTTGTCCCTCCATTTATTTTTAATGCAGTGCAGTATTTTGTAAATTTTGCAGGAATGAATAAATGATTGATTTGTTATCCAATAAAATAATATATGTGAGAATATATAAAAATATTGGACAATATATATTTCAAGATTCACAACAGATACAAAGTTTGGAAATAAGGAAGTCTTGCTAAATTCTTTACAAGGCTTCTTGAGAAAAAACCTTGTTGAGGTTTGGATTAATTCTGAGGCTTGCTCAGGAAATTTGGAGGTAGATACTAGATATAGACTTGACAGGAATCCAGGATAACCAATATTCCTTCAAGCCACGGAAATTCATGAGTTTAATCTCATGCATATTTTTAATAGAACACATCAGGTGAAACACATGCATCAGGTAAAATACATTCAATCAAAAATATACATATATACAAGAGGCTTTTCCTCTTGGATCCCGCAGTGTCAAAGAAAATCCTTCACAGTGGCATCAGTCACTGTCAGCAATAAAGAGAGGAAAATAGGCGCTTGGCCTTCTGAGGAGTAACACGTCACACATTAATGCAGAAATTGTTTTCACATAGAAGAGTGAAAAACAAGGAACAGCTGTAGGGGGAGAAAATCACCACTTGTTCCTGGAAGGAAATAAAATTGGTAATTCTTCCTGGTATAGAGAACCATGCAACAAGTGTACAAGTATCTAG